TTGGTAGAAAACCCTGATTCCAATTCGCCCCCAAAACGACATACACACTAACTCCAGATAATCTTGGTTGTGATTGTCACAAACTCAATAGGGAGTTGCGGACACCCAGAACGTAAACCGCGCTCTGACGGCGTGCAATCCGACCAATTAGACAGCGATCACAAATGAACTGTGGTTTTCGTATGCCATCCCACTGTCTTGTGGGTCATGCTTCGGCTTTTAGAAGGCTCGGGTTACGAATTCTCTTACTGTGACTTAGAAGACCAGACAATCAATGTTTCGCCCTCGAGAATGTTTTTGCATCATTTGTCTCTCACGCAGTTCAGGATCGGACAATCGTGACTATAAGTATTTGTATACATGCCTACGCAATCGATGAACATTTTTATCCACCAAAAGGGAAAGTGAACCAAGGAAGTTCACGGTAAAGCGCACACCTATTCGCTTCGATCACTTCTGTCTGTCTTGCTTTTGAACACACTTTGTTGTTGGATCAATAACACTGAATGAACGGGTACACGAAAACAAAAGTTACTAAACATAGAAGTAAAAGGTCAACTCCACGATAAATGGATTGATTGTCTCCAAAACGTTTGTGCACATTTAGTGTTCTTTCGGAACTAGTGAAAATTGATTAATCAAGCCCCCTATTTCTCTCGAAGAACGACTGTGAATCTGATTTTCATTCACACGACAAATTAATTGACCGGAAACCCTCTCTCTCTTTGTGGATCCATTTGTTTTTGTTGTTTTATCTTGCGTGCATTTAAACGTGTTGATCTTTTATGTGTGATCATGCTACTGTCATCCTAACAGTTTGCATGAGAAGACTGTCTGGACAAGGATATCAACAAACTAATCTCACTAAATGAATCCACTCAGCTATCGGCCATTGGTAATAGTCGCAATCTTTTTCGTTCGGTTAGGAGAACAGGACCAAGGCAAGTCGGTATAAGTGAGGTAATTAAGGAGTCTGACGGCACACCGATTCAAATTCAGGAACGCCGTCTTGAATGTTGGGTTGGACACTTCAAGGCACAGTTCAGCAGGTCCCCGTCGACACATGACCTTCCCCTTCCAGCTTCAACTGTGCAAATACTACCAGTTGAAATCAGCCCTCCATCTGAAATGGAGGTTACCTGGGAAATAAGTTATCTTAAAAGGCATAAGGCTTTGGGCCTCGACGGGCTGTCCCCATCGGTTTTTAAGGATGGAAGCTCATCCTTGGTTTCGGGCTCAGTGTGGGAGAGGGAAGAGGTCCCAAATGAATGGTGTGAATCGGTGATCATACCGATTTACAAGAAGGGTGACAGATCCTTTTGTGAAAACCACAGAGGAATTAGTTTAATTAACATCGTCTCTAAACTTCTCGCCGGGACCGTAATCCGTCGATTGTCTGCCGCACGTGAACGGTTTACGCGTGAGAATCAGGCCGGTTTCAGACCTGGTCGAGGCTGTATTGACCACAGCTTCACA